AAAAAAAAATTCTCCAAAAGCTTGTCTATTTTGTTTACTCCTGTTGACAAGAATCTTTACTGTGATGGGGCAGAAAATTTTTCATCTACCCTGCAAAGGTTCTTCCAGCTGGTATAACAAGTTGACATGAGACAGATTAGCAAGAGAAAATCAAATTCAATTTTGTATGTATGGGAACCCCAATACATGAGAGGTTCAAAGAAAGGAATGGGATAGAGGCCTGGGGTTTCAAAGAGGAGGAAGGCAATTCACGGGGAAATAAGAAAAAGAGCAGATGTTTTAGATGTAATTAGATGTTTATCTGAGATAGGTTGCTCAGATAAAATTTTATCTCTAATGGTTATTAACTCTAAATCTGGGGAAAAACCCCAGTTTAAATTCTTCTAGATAGTTAAGGGGATGGCAAAAAGTTTCTCTTGGGACTACAGGGTCTCAATTGCCTTCAGCTCAATTACCACATGCCAAATTGGCACGTTTTAGGGAGACTTGCTCTGAAGCTCTTCAACCACATGAGTTAGTTCTTAAATATATACCGTCCTCACTATACTACTCACACTGTTGTGTATGAATCAATCACTTTTTCAGTGAGACCAGTGGCTCTCAGTGAGAGGTATAAAGAGAGAAGAGATTAGAAGATGAAAGCATGGCCTGACAGATCAGACCAACCTGAAGGTCCCTTTCTAGATTACATAGCAGCTTACCTTCACCCTCCCCAAACCACAGGCATTGCTGCCATTGTGGGATTGATGAAAAATTATTAAATTTCCTTACTACCTACAGCCCATTGACAAGTCCCTGAAACAGGCAGAGTGACATTCCTCTCATGGACTCAGTTGCCTCGATGTTAATACTTAGCTAAGGGCAAAAGGCAATCCTAGCCTGACCCGCCACCCCCGCCCCCCAACCAGGATCCTGTAAGTCTACTTTAATGTATAAAAATTCCTTTGGAAACTTCCTTTATCTCTAAACCCCCCAGGCATATGGCCCACCGATAGACATCTGAAGGGTCTCATGACTAAGGTTTTACTAGGCGGTAATAAATGACCTTTTCCCAACAATAGCTAGCCCCTCAAGGTCCTGGAAACCTTGCTTCCAAAGTTCTTTAGAGACTTACATTACCCCTAACCCCCTCCCAACTTGAAAGTATATAATGGCTGGGGCGCCTGGGTGGCTCAGTTGGTTAAGCAAATGCCTTCAGCTCAGGTCATGATCTCAGGGTCCTGGGATCGAGCCCCGCATCGGGCTCCCTGCTCGGCAGGAAGCCTGTTTCTCCCTCTCCCGCTCCCCCTGCTTGTGTTCCCTCTCTCGCTGTGTCTCTCTCTGTCAAATAAATAAAATCTTTTAAAAAAAGAAAGTATATAATGGGCCACTCCTCATGACCCCATTGCAGCTCTTTCTGCCCACGAGTCCTGTCCCTGTGCTTTAATAAAATCACCTTTTTGCACCAAAGAGGTCTCAAGAATTCTTTCTTGGCCGTCGGCTTCAAACCCTAACGTCTTTCCTACATTAGGATGACATACCCATGGGAGCTGTTATACTCTGGCAGGAAGTTAGGAGGTAAAAAGAATTAGTAACCAGTGGTAAGGATCATTTTTTCACTAAAAGATGAACTTTGGAATCAAAAGCTTATTGGTTTCAATCCTGGATTTAACACTTACCCTATGTTTCTCATTTTCAAATGGATATAAAAATCCCTTTCTTTCAATATATGAATATTAAATGTATTCTAAGTGCTAGTAAATAGAGCTCAAAAAATGCCCTTTAGGCATTATTTTTCAAGTAGACTTGAGAGCTCCTCTACACCGGAGTTTCTCAATCTTGGCACCATTGACAATTTTAATGGACCAGATAATTCTTAATGGGGGGGGTGCTATGGGCTAAGTTGTGTTCCCTGACCCTGCCACTCATATATTGAAGTTGTAAACCCCGGCACCTCAGAATGTGAATGCATTTGGAAACAGGGTTTTTAAAGTGATAATTACAGTAGAGTGAAGTTGTATGAATAGGCCCTGATCCAATATGATTGCTGTCCTTTTAAGAGGAGATTGTGACGCAAACTTGTGCAAGCGAAGAGGAAAGATCATCTAAGGACACAGCAAGAAGGCGGCCATCTGCAAGCCACGGAGAGAAATCTCAGAAGAAACCAACCCTACTGACTTCATCTTGGACTGCCACCCTCCAAGAACTGGGAAGGAAAAAAAAAATCCTTTTGTTTAAGCCACCCAGTCCATGGCATTTGGTTATGGCAGCCTGAGCAAACAGTGCACGAGGGTTGCCCTGTGTGTTGTAGTATGTTCAGAAGCATCCTTGGTCTCTACCCACTGATACCAGTGGCAATCCCCTAGCGCTACAGTTGTGACACCCAAAAACGTCTCCACACATTGCCAAATGTCTCCTAGGGGCAAAATCTTCCTCCCTGCCCTATTGAGAAACAGCCCTACTGAGAACCACCATTTCGGATGGCCTCTGGTCACCTCTGTTTTCCCAGTGCTCAGTGATGCAGGAAACAAAGGCAGAAAAAAAATTATTAAATTTCCTTACTACCTATACCCCAATGACAAGTCCTTGAAACAGGCAGAGTGACATTCCTTTAGGAACTCTGCTGCCTAGATGTTAATACTTTGCTAAAGGCAAAAGGCAATCTTAGTCCAACCCCCAGGATCCTGTAAATCTACTTTAACATATAAAAATTCCTTTGGAAACTTCCTTTATCTCTACCCCCATAAGATGCAGGTTGGCAATCATCCCTCCAAGCATATGACTCACCAATATACATCTGAAAAATTTCATGACTGAGTTTTTACTAAACAGTAATAAATAACCTTTTCCTAACAATTGCTAGCCCCCTTTCCTAACAATAGTTAGCCCCCTCAGGATCCCAGGGAACTCTTGTTGTCAAAATACCTGGGAGGCTTATGCTATCCCTAAACCCCTCCCAACTTGAAAGTATATAATGGGCCACTCTTCATGACCCCAGTGCAGCTCTTTCTGCCCACGGGTCCTGTCCCTGTGCTTTAATAAAACCATCTTTTTGCACCAAAGACGTCTTAAGAATTCTTTCTTGGCTGTCGGCTCTGAACCCTAACATCTTTCCTACATCACTCGGCACAATGATGGTGACCTAAGAAGATAATCATATATTTTCTGAATAAAGTCACCTGCCTGGTTCCCCATCTTGGGTCTCACTACTCCCTTGCAAACTCCTTTTGCTGTGTTTAAAAAAAAGAAAAAGGAAAAGAAATAAAAGGCTCAAAATGGAGTCACTTGCCCCCACAACAGCAACCAAAACTTAATTGCATTGCAGGAATGTGGTCTTTAACCAGTCAATCTGGAATTTCCTGATCAGCATTACTGAGGTCTTCTGCAAGATAGACCCTAGCCCTTCCCTCAAAAGGTGACCTTGCCTACATCAATCCTTTCTTTTCTTTTGCTAATGACTTCCGTCCTTCCTTCCAACCCTGTTTCTGCCTTTAAAAACCATCCATTTTGTATGGCAACTTGGTGCTCCTTTCTACTTGTAGATGGGATGCTGCCTGATTCATGAATCCTTGAATAAAGCCAATTAGATCTTCATATTTACTTGCTTGGATTTTGTTTTTTACAGCTGCAATTAAAGTAGTAATTACTTCCAGTTTAATTTATAGTAGGCTGTGCACTTTTTAATGAAAGTTTTCATTTTAGCATAATTTCTGGCAATTCAGTGACGTAAATATCACATCAATGTTAAACTTTATTTTGCTTGATATTGCTCACTTACCTCACATCAGATCCTTTGATAGATTCAGTGAGAGTGGTGCTACTTTTAGTTTCCTGAATGCACCACTCATAATTTAGCACATGAAATGACTATGACAAATTCTTACATAACCATCTGAAGCTCAGGGAACTCAAAAAGAAAACAAATGGCCTTTTAAGTGTGCAAGCGCTGAACTCTAAGTCATAATGAGACTCCACACATTATCCAGAAACCCAAAGCATACCAAAGAGCCAAAGTCAATAGAGACATTCTTTGGAAAGGGGAAGTCACAAACGCCTCTCTGGCACATTCATAAATTTGTTGTCTTAACATTGGCGCATGTGCTGTCATGTTATTTGAAAGCTGATGTGTTTGGGCTGGGAATGATGTGGGGGCACGGGTGGAGAGGGCTGACTCTGAGAGGCTGAAGAGCGGCGTTAGGAACTCTGGAAGAACTGGGAACTGATGGACATTTTGCACAGAGACAATTTCTGACCAAGTCTTTCCAGTGATTTGTAGCTTATACTCAACTATTCATAAGACATTATATCCAGGGCATTATTTTAAATTGATACAGTCTCTTCATTTACAAAATTCATTTATTGCATACTTTTTGTTTAATAGCTGGGAGTCAGAGTGGTAAAGATTTGATTTACACAAGTGAAAAAAAGAAAAAGACTAATATCATTTTGAAGTGCCATTTCCAAAGAATATGTCAATGTTTCAAAGTTAGTGTTTGTGACTTTTAGTTTCGATACAAACATCCTACTCCAAGTGACAAATGACTACATTAAACTCGGGCAATGACCATCACGTAACTGCTGTGACAGGCATGCTGGCATCTGGGCATCTGGGGCTGACACGCACCAAAGAGGTGATTTTATGACAACCTGCCTTTCCATAAATACAAAGGCTCTTAACCCCTCAGCTGCTCCTTGTGACAGAGAGGTTGAAAAGAATCCTTTTCTCAAGTTAGTTTCTACATGGAAGAGGAGAATGTCTTAAGGATATCCTGAAATTTAGAAACAAAACTCTTTGTCAAGACGTCTGTGTACTCTGCAAAGTTGGCAGACATGTGGCTGTCAATATTTTTAGAGAGAGATGCTTTAGAGACGGGATAACTGACCAAGTGAAGATGTTTCAGAACTTATTTTTCCCTAGAAAGGCAAAAAGTATGAAAATCAGCTAACCATCATATTCAGAAGTCAACACCTTCACTTGGGCATTTATGAATATGAAGTCTGTGTGGCAACCCAAAGTGCCACACTCCAATCACCACACTGGAAAAGTCAGCAAAGCCCTCACTAATTCCTATTCCGCTTATTGCTCGGCTCAATCTCAGCACCCTCCGCTGATCTTGTACGACGATTCTGTCTTGGACTCATTTCTGTATCTTGAAGATCATTTCTGAAAACAGAAAAAAGGAAACAGCATCTCAGAAAATAATGATCATGATTATTCTACAGCAGCTTCTAGCTGACAAGCGCTTTCACATGTACTATTTCATTTAAACCTCCAAACAGTTCTCTTCTCCACTGGCAAGTCTATAATAATTATCATTACTGTTATTATTATACACATTTTGTAACTGAGAAAACAGTGACTAAGCAAAGATTACAGGCCATAAGTGACAGAAGCAGAAACTGAATCCCTTTCTTCTGAATCAAAATCTAAAATAGCTTTATGCTTTGCTTAACATGAAGAAAACTGCAAAAAAAAAAAAAAAAAAAAAGGTGCTGGTATCCTAACAACAAGACAAAGTCAGTGTCTAACAAAATCATTCTCTTGATCCTGAGAGCTCAGGTTGTAAGGCAGGAAAACAAAATTCCAAAGAAAGATAAGCCCCACCAAAGAGAGGTGGACCACACAAATTCTCTTTTTTTTTAAAAGATTTTATTTATTTGACAGAGCAAGACAGCGAGAGAGGGAACACAAGCAGGGGGAGTGGGAGAGGGAGAAGCAGGCCTTCCACCAAGCAGGGAGCCAGATGTGGGGCTCGATCCCAGGACCCTGGGGGATCACGACCTGAGCCGAAAGCAGACGCTTAACGACTGAGCCACCCAGGCACCCCAAATTCTCTCACTTTTGACACAGAACTGGAGAAAGGTGGCTGTTGTACAACCAGGTAAGAGGACATGAGCTAACATTTTAATGAATTCTGAACTATGGGCTAGTACCGAAGGCCCCTGACACAAGGAGAAGCCACATGGCACTGGCAAGCTCTTTTCCAGGAGCCTCAAGTCAAGTGCTCATAAGAAAGACTGGGAGCAGGGTGGGGAAACTGAGGAAAGCCCACTTTGGTGGCACAGGATAAAGCTGGTGAATGGGGGTGACAGGGGACAGGCAGAAAGCCCTACATCTTCCTGGGACTGTTCTCTCCTATGAAGTAAGAGCTTTCAGCTGCTGAGGGAAACTCATTGGCCCATGGGAATCAGGCAAAGATCTACTATCTCTGGAGGAGGGGCAGAATGCTTGAATGGGAAGTCTGCTTGAATGGGAAGAATAGGAAATCATTTGCAAGAACACTGGCAAAGATTCTTTGCTGCTGGGGAAATGGTAGAAATAAAAACCTCTACCTCTGGAGGAAGGGCAGAAAATCATCTTGGGCTGATGATCTCAAACAATACCAAGCAAAGGCTTGGGCAGGGCATTCTGACTACCATGGGAGGAGGGGAGAGGTGGGCAGAGAAAGCTCCACCCCCAAGATCCAGGCATACAGGGCCTGCCCAAGACCACAGCTGGAACAAGATAACATAGAGCCCCAGCAGGCTCCTACCAGGAGCCACGCACCAAGTAATAGGCAGTAGCAGTAAACTGCTGAGGGAGAGGTCAGGACATGGAGAGATGGCCCTCTGGGATGCAGGCATGCAGACAAGGCGGAAAGGTAAATGAGAACAAAATCATTGAACAAAAGCTTCCCACAATCCAGCCCCCAAACTAAGCACAAAGTAAAAGCAGCCCACTGGTTGAGAAACTTGATGCCTCTGATACACTGAAGGTCATGTTAGGAACCAGGAAATTCCAACCTGGGTCAACTCCCCACACTAATGGCCTAAGAGAAGAAGCAGCATGCCCGTTTCCAGGCACAAAGTCTATTTTTACCTCAGTATCTATGGCCCTTCACAGGATGTCTAGCATCCACACAAAATGCACAATGCACAAAGAAGAAAAACCAAATAAAAAGTCCATTGTCAAGATATAAAGTAACCAAGAGATACAGGCAGAATGACCCACATGTTGGAACCATCAGACTAAAACTTTAAATAACTATGATTAATATGGTGAAGGCTCTAGGGATAAGCTAGAGGACATACATGGACAGACGGCTCCAGGGGTGGCTCTGAAAGACAAAGATCGTTACTGTCCCTCCCTCTCTGTACCTCCCAGAGTCCAAGAGGTTCCTCCCCCACTGTCAGCACCGTTGCTTTCTCCACCTCCACAAAATCACATGTTCCTTTTTATCAGCTGTAACTTTACCTTTTCTTTAATCATCCTCTACTCACACCCAGTCCTTTGACCCAGAAGAGTCAGATGTGAGAGGGTAAGGGCATTTTTATTAAACTTTTCAGAGACTCATTATGTTCCCCACTTTTTCTTTTTAAGATTTTATTTATTTATTTGACAGAGAGAGAGACACAGTGAGAGAGGGAACACAAGCAGGGGGAGTGGGAGAGGGAGAAGCAGGCTTCCCGCCAAGCAGAGAGCCCAATGCGGGGCTCAATCCCAGGACCCTGGGATCACGACCTGAGCCAAAGGCAGACACTCAACGACTGAGCCACCCAGGCACCCTTATTTTCCCCACTTTGACGCATGTGGGCCATAGTAAGAAGACTCAGTGAGTAGTGTACTCAGCCAAGTCGTCACTAGCCTTTTGATTTAGGACAGTTGGCAAACTCTTTGTGTAAAGGACTAGACATTTTGGGCTCTGAGGGCCATAGAGTCTGTTGCAACTACTCAATTCTGTTGTAATCGTGAAAAGAACCACAGCCAGCAGATAAACAAATGTGTGTGGCTATGTTCCAATAAAACTTTATTAACAAACAGACAGCAGGCCAGATTTGGCCTATGGGCCATAGTTTGCTGATCCCTGACCTAGAACCATATCAGTCCAGCAAGTGAATCCAACAAGCTGAATCAGAATTAAGTGTGAATCCTCTAGGACCCCTCTTGGCCAAGCTGCTACCCAGAGGGTGTACCAATCTGGCCAGTATACGGTTGCTGTTAGGAGAAAGAAACAAGCATCATGCCCAGGAATAATTAAGAAGGAACCCTGAGTTTCTGAAATAGGTAAATATATAACCACAAAACCCTTTCTGTACTAATCATTACCCAGAAAGTGGCCAAAAGGAGAGGATTCCGTTCTGGGGACAGCAGTGTTCAGTGACCAAAATTCCTTACTAAGGTATGTGGACCAGAAGATGAGGGAGTTGATAATTTTAAAGGAGGCCATTCCAACATTCAATAATATTAGATGCCTGTAGATTGTAGGGAGGATAAAAAGTCCAGTGAATCCCTTGACCATCAGCCCATTATTGATATGTACATGAGTGACCCAGATGGTTCACTCAGCACCCTTCAGGTTTGCAGCCTCAAAGCAGGGGATCTGCCAATCTGTGGCCTTCATAACCACTTTTATGACCTGTTTAACCTTAATTGCCTCTTTAAAGGCTCCATCTCCAAATATAGTCACATTGGAGGTTAGGGCTTCAGCTTATGAATTTTAGAGGGACACAATGCAGTCCATAAGAGCCTCCATGGATCAGGCCATTCAGTTTGACAAGAACCTAGTAGCAAGCAAACAGCTATTTTTCAAAAGGGGTGTAACTGGTAGCTATGCTAGGCTGGTCACAAGTCCAAAATCCCACAGGTTGCCTCTAGGTGGAGGCTGCCTCCCTTTCTCAGAGACTCCAATCAGGAAAATCATTAGTCTTACGACTTGTAGCTCTAAGGGGTCATTAGGGTTGTGGGACCTCAAGGGTATTAGCACTTCTCTATGTGTGGCTCTTCCCTATCAGAGAATTTGCTCTGGCACTTATTGGAGGTGGAATTAGGAGTATATAACACATCAATTCCTAAACACATCCAAATTTAAAAACAATAGTACAATGAATTAGCCCAACGGGCCCCATCTACAAGGTCACATTAGCTTCCCTTCCCGATTGTGAAACTTACCCAAACCCCATAAAGTCAATTCAGGTGCTTCCTTTCCCCACAGGACAGGGTAGGATGGTGAATCTGGTACCTATATCCAACAGAACCATAAAATCCCTTCCCAAACTTCAGAAGCACATCCAGACTGGTACAGATAGCCTTTCATCTCCTTTAGGGACAGGGGAACCTCAACTCCACTTCTTCTTCTTCTTTTTAAGATTTATTTATTATTTGAGAGAGAACGGGGGGGAAGGGCAGAGGGAGAGGGAGCCAGAATCCCAAAGTGGACTCAATGCTAAGCACAGGGACCGACATGGGGCTTGATCTCATGACCCTGAGATCACAACCTGAGCTGAAACCAAGAGTCAGTTGCTTAACTGAGCGAGCCACCCAAGCACCCCTCAGCTCCAATTCTAATCAACAAAACCAGAATAGCCAAAACAATTCTAAAAAGGAAAAATTTACTGACAACACCAAATGCTGGTGAGGTTGTAAAGCAAGAAAAATTCTCATTCACTGCCAGTGGGAATGCAAAATGGCACAGCCATTCTGGAACAAAGTTTGGCAGTTTCTTACAAAATTAAATATAGTCTGACCATACAATCCAGCAACTGTACTCCTGGGTAATTCCCCAAGGGCACTGAAAACTTATTTCCACACAAAATCCTGCACTTTGTTTTTAATTAGAATATTTTATATATATATATATAATTATATTTTTATATATATTATATATATGTATATATATCACTTTAATCATAATTGCCAAAACCTGGAAGCAACCAAGATGTCCTTCATTAGGTGAATGGATAAATGAACTATAAGACTCCAGACAATGGAATATTATTCAGCACTAAAAAGAAATGAGCTATCAAACCTCAAAAAGACATGGGGCAATCTTAAATGAATATTACTAAGTAAAAGGAGACAATTTGAGAAGGCTACATACTGTAGGATTCCAACTAAATGACATTCTAGAAAAAATAAAACTATAAAGACAGAAAAAAATCAGTGGTTGTCAGGAACTTGGAGAGGAGAGACGAACAGGTGGAACATAAAGGATTTTTAGGGCAGGGAAACTATTCTGTATACCATAATGGTGGATACATGTCATTATACATTTGTTAAGACCCATACACTATAAAATACAAAGAATGAACTCTGATGTAAACTGGAAAAGGAAAGTTAGAGGCCTCATACTAGCTGATTTCATGACATTATAAAGCTGCAGTAATGGTGCTCGCTTCGGCAGCACATATACTAAAAAAAAGCTGCAGTAATGAAGACAGTGTGTGTTATTGGTGAAAAGGCAAACATATAGATCAATAGGGCAAAACAATGATTCCTGAAATAGACCCATACATATATATCCAATTGATTTTTGATTAAGGTACCAAAGTTATCCTACATGTAAAAGAGAAAAATTGAACTTCAATCCATACTGTGCACCATTTATAAAAATCAACTTGAAATAGATTATAGACTTAAATGTAAACCCTAAAACTTCTAGAACGTAACAGAAAACCATTGGGTTAGGTAAAGATTTCCTAGATAGGACACAAAAAAGCACCATAGTAAAAGAAAAGAAAAAATTGATAAATTAGATTTCATCAAAATTTAAAATTGCTCTTTGAAAAACTCTACCAAGAAAATGAAAAGGCAAGCCACAAAGTGGAAGAAAATATTTGCAAAACACGTTTCTGATAAAGAACTCATAAATCTCAAAAGTAAAAAACCACCCAATTTATAAATGGGCAGAAAATTTGAGGAAGCACTTCATCAAAAGACATAGGGATGGCAAATATGCATGTGAAAGGAAGTTCAACATCATCAATCCTTAGGGAAATGCAAATTAAAATGACAAAAAAAAATACTACTGTAACTCTATTAAAATGGCTTTAAAAATAAAGAGCATAACCAAGTACTGGCCAAGATATGGAGCAACCAGAACTCTCATATATTGCTGGTGGAATACAGCTGGGCAGTTTCTTATCAACTGAACATACACTTACCATATGATGCCATTCCTAGGTATTTACCAAAGAGAAATGAAAACGTATGTCCACACACAATACTGCACTCAAATCCTTCCAGCAGTTTTATTCATAATCCCCCAAATCTGGAAACCCAAATACGCCCATCAGCTGTTGAATGGGTAAACAAAATGTGTTGCAAATGAATTCTCATGGGGTTAAGATGAAATTCAGATTAACAGAGAAAATTATTCTTTTCTGATTTTATAAGAATATTAGAGAAAGCTATTTCCTAAAATTTCCTCTTTAAGGCACTATGAGATGAAGAGTTAAAACAATTCGTAAGTGCAATCCTTATCCATTCACAGGTTCTTGAAGCCACAGAAGCTGTGTCACTAACAGCTAGAATCCACTAATGAGTGTATTCAGATCTAATAAACATTGACTGACATATTCACTCACTCATATACTTACTGAGTGCCCATTATGGGCCACCCAGGCACTATGCTACACACATGAAGATTCAAGGTCCAATGTACATGCTCTCTAGAAAGGCAGTCAAGTGGTAAGTGCAGAGTGCTGCAGGAGCAGACTCAGGGGCTTCTGAATGGAATGGCGGAGAAAGGAATGACAATTCCCATCTAGATGAGGAAAAGGGAAAAGGCAACTGAGGCAGAAGCAAAGGCACCGAAGCAAGGTAACAAGACTCTCTGAGGTGACCGTGAGTAGTTCAGCTTAGCTGAAACAAGGAATTGTGGGGTGCAGAGGGGATGCACCCATATGAAATTCCATGAGCCAGTAGGTAGGCTGGGGCCATGACAGTAAGAGCCTTGGATGCTGGCGAGTCCCTGAAGGACTTTAAAGTCCAACAGGAAGAACAAAGTGTGTTTCATATCTCACCGGCCAAATGACCTGTAACGACTAGAGGCAGAGAGGCACAGACGGCTGCTGCAGCAAAGCTAGAGAGAAGAGCAAAGGGCCTGTAGCCAGCTGTGGCACAAAGGGCTGACGGAGATACCACAGAGGGGCTGTGCAAGGTGGGGGCCCCAGAAGCAGCATTAGCAACACTAGGGACCGTGTTAAAAATGCAAACTATTGGGCCCCACCCCAAATCTACTGAATCACTCTTTGAATTCGGTAAAGCCCAATAATCTGTGTTTTAACAAGTCCTTCAGATGTCTGTGATGCATATTTAGGTCTGAGTACCACTTACCTATACGACTTTTGCAGCTGACTGAATATGACAGGTCAGGGCGAGTGAGAGGTTGAAAATGATTCCTAGGTGTCTGGCTTGAACAGTGGGGCAGACTACCATACTCCATTCACTGAGAGAGGGGACAGCAGAGGGCCAGCAGCTCTGGAAAGAAGGGACTTAGACTCTCTGGGGCAGACAGATTTTCCTCACATTTTATATATTAAACAAATTGAAACCTAGAAATGTGAAATGATATACCAGGACCATTTCTCTTACTGTTTTCATCCTGTTTGATGTAAATATATTTTATAGGTCAAAACAGTAAGATGAATCAGTATTTATAGACATAAGAACCCAAGGCCAGTCTGTAGAAAATAGTTTTTGGTTTTTTGCTGCTTATGAAAATATTGCTTTATATGGAGCACTATGTTGCTAATAGAACCTCTCAATCATTTATGGAATTGAGAAAGAGAATTATGGAATTTAGATTCCATTCTCTTAAATGGAATCTAATTCCATTGGAACTGAAATAGTATGTTCTAGGACTAACATCTCAAATATGCCACTTGTGGTACGACAAAACATGCCTATAAGCTTAAGGTATAGAACTGCCAAATTTTGTTTAAAAGTAAAGCTATGGAGGCTTTTCCTGATTCTGCCTCTAAAGCCACATTATGGCATAAGCTTGTTTGAACTGTTCTATGCTCAGCTGAAGTCAGGAGGCCTGGATTCTGATCTTGGCAGTGCCACTAACTAGCTGTGAACCTTGACCTAGTCAATTTACCACTCTGAAGTCCAGCTTCCTTCTCTATAACATGAAGGGATTAGATGAGATGAACACTTAGGTCCTTCTAGCTGTAACATTTATTATCTATGAGGATCAATCAATGTGCTTGGTCTTCTAAGTGCTTTCTTATAATGATGACTTTTGGAGGCCATCATTATTGAGAATGGGCTCGGGTGCAGGAACTCTGGCTACAATGTGTCATAGCCATTGGTGTCAGGTTTAGTTCAGCATGAACAGGATGATTCCTGGTACAAGAGGAAATAGTTAGCTAAGCAGTGGCCTTCTTTCCCAAAATGCAAAGTTAAATAATGGGTAGGTGAGAGTAATGCAGCCAAAATCTCAAACTTTCATAAAACATTACTGTTTGAACCACCAAATATCTCATTGGCCTGATAAACCTCCTCATAATGCTTTCCCTGGACACAGCACACTTCCCATTCTCCCAGTGATTCAGCTATGAAACTACAAAATCTCAGCACAATAAACTTCTCCTTCTTTGTAAAGACAGTATACAGCTTAATGGTCCAAAGAGCTGACTTTTGGCACATTGGTTACAATCTTAGCTCCATCACTTATCACTTACTGCTGAGTGACCTTGGGATGGAAATTTACCTCTTCGAGCCTCAAAGAGGCTTTAAAAAAGGTGAAGAGGTCAACAGTATCAAATCTGCCAAGGCAATGAAGGTTTTGACTATGGATTTAGCAACATGGAGTTCTTTGATGACCTTAGTGAAAATGATTTCAGATCAATGATGGAACTGGCTGAGAATGTGGAAGAGTAAGTGGAGATAAGGAAGTGCAAAATGCAGGTAGAGACCATCCATTAAGAAAGGAAGGAAAGATAAAACAGTGGCTGCAGGATGAGATGGAGTGAGAGGAGAGACTGAATGAGGTGTTATTTGTTGCTTGGCTGGTTTTAAGAAAGAAAGATTTAAGCAGGCTGAAAACCCAATGACAAAGATACAGCTGAGAGGGAGAGGTTGCCAGACAAAGAAGGTTCCTAACAAATGGGTAGGAATGAGGGAGGAGGAATTAGCCTCTGATAAGACATCCCTTTATTATAAAAGGAGGCAATTATAAAATGAGGAATAAAATATGTATACATATAGGCACATTTATACATTTGGTGTTGGAAAGATGAGGACTCCCACATAATGGCTTCTATTTTCTCTACAAAGGAAGAGAAAAGGTCTCCAGCTGGGGGTGCAGCCACTGGAAAGAGGTGAGGTTTCAAATAATCCTTGTGAAGAACCAGACAAAGAAATGACCACAGAAACAGTAAAACTTCTAGGCAGTTTGGAGGGCCCACTGAAGTGTAATCACAAAATTACAGTGGAACAAAGCTTCCCCATTGTACTGCAGATCACTCCTGCAAGTGGAGATTGAGAATGTAATATTCTTTGGCATTGTTCCTTTCCTCCTTACCTACCAATAGGACCTGGAATAGGTCCCCTCCACCACTCTAATTTCCCAGACAGATTCCTAAATGCTAACTGGAGAAGGAATCAAAATGCATTTATTCTACACTAAACACTTTTGACTGGGAACATCTAGGAAAGGACTCAAAGTTTATAAACACTCTGAGCACAGTGCTTACCGCTAAACTGTTAATTTCTCACTGGAACAATCTGTCTTTAGAAAAACAACTTCTGACAAGTAATCAGAGTTATTACAGTGGGATTCCCTTTCTAAGCAAAAATGTATAGAAACAAAAAAGTAGTAAACTGGAAATCTTTACCTTAACATGTGTGAATTATTACCTTCTTAAATCAGAAAGCACAAATATTCTTTTGTTTGAAAATCAACAGCATGGAATTATAATTTCTCAAAGTACACACTTATTTCTTGATGATGAGAACTCACCTATGTGATGCTTCCCAGGCTTCCTCTTCTTCTAAAATATCTCTTATGATGTCTGAACTGGAACTAAAAGGACATGTACATCAATATTGTCAGACAATAAAAAGACCATATAGTTCCATTTATATGAAATTCTAGAAAATGCAAACTAATCTCTAGTGACAGAAAGCAAACTAACAGACCAGTGATTACCTGCAGGGGTAGGGGGTGGGCAAGGAGAGATTACAAAGTGGCACAAGGAAACTGTGGGAGTGGATACGTTCATCATCTTGATTGTGAAGATGATTTCATAGCTGTATACATGTATCAAAACTCATCAAACTGCATGTTTTAAATATTTGCAGTTTTTTATATATCAATTTCAATAAAGGTATAAAAAAACTTAATAAACTAGCAATAATAAAAAATCATTAAAGCTTAAATAAATCTGTCAACATAAAACCTGCATACAAATACAATATAGTTGCAAGCCTTTTTAATCTCCCATGGCAACCAAAGATCAAACTGTGTTTTAAAAACTGCACTCTAGTAATGAGATTCATAAAGAGACATTAAGTTCCTAAGTGGCTTTTAGTCCCTTTGTAACCAAAGTAAAGTAAAATTTAATTAATTTCAACTGTGCTAATAATGGAATTCGTTAAAATGCAACTTGGCTTAAAGTGTTGCATAATCTTTGGTCTATCTGCGCAGGGTACAGGGTAAAATAAGGTTATAGAGGGCATATATTATCTCTTTAAAAGAAAGAAGTGTTCCAAGGCTTTTAGCATCTTGTTCTTAGCCAAATAAATTCTTACCAAATGAAAAGAAAAAAAAGATGTACATCAATAGCAAAAAAGCATTTCTTTAGGCATCCAAGAAAAAGAATGTGAAGAGCATTACATGAGACAACTCAGAAATAGGAGTCACTACCGCAGGGTGGAGAAGGCTAAAAAAATGGAATAACTTTCTCCCGGATGAGAAACAACAGGACTGGATATGTCTGTGCCAATCATCTTCTAATGATACTCAGATAACGAAAGTCTAAAAATTATGGAGACATAAAGTGCCAATGAATCATTCTCAACAGTTACTGACAAATCACTTTGAAGCAATGTTTGCCTGTGGTGCATGAAAACAAGGCAACAACCATCAATCAATACTGCTCTGTGCCAAATATTTTTCTCAAGGGGTACTGCCCAAATTCCAAGCCTCTCAAGGAGCTACATGCAGGAGCCCTTCTGACTATGGTTCACATGTATAATGGCCTGTGTGGGGCGATTCCATGTAGTGATCCTCCAATATAGCTAGCTCAGTGGTTCGCAGGCATTTCAGGATAAGGATCCTCATACGTTTAGTATTGGTGGCTTGAGAAAATACATAACAAAGTATTAAAAAATTAGTAATACTTTTAGCCTATATTTTATTCATTACAGTGGCACATGCTGGACAGTGAAAAAACAGTAGTACCTGCATTTTGTGAGACACTCTTTATTATGTCTAAAGAGAATTCCTTTTTTTTTTAGATTTTTATTTATTTATTTGAAAGAGAGAATGAGAGAGAGCATGGGGCGGTGGGGGGGGGGTGGTGTCAGAGGGAGAAGCAAGCTCCCCGCCAAGCAGAGAGCCCGACCCAGGACTCGATCTTGGGACTCTGGGATCATGACCTGAGCCGAAGGCAGACGTTTAATAGCTGAGCCACCCAGGCACCCCAAAACTGAAGTTGTTTTAATGTAACTTTTTCTTCTCTTCTCTCTCCTGTCTGATACCATCACCCACTCTTCTTTACCTGGACAGAGCTAAGGCAGTGTTTCTCAACCCTTTTCTTTATCATTTCCCACCTAAGGAGCTTTTTTAGACTTTTTCTTTTTTCATAATTGCCCTTCCATGAGATTTTAATACTGAAGCATAATGTGTACCTGTTTATATATTGTATGTGTGTGTGTCTGTGTATATATATGCTTTATACACAAGAGTAGGTTGGTTTTTTATGTGTGTGTGTTTTGGTCATCCAGCCTCCTCGCTGCCAAGAACCAAGTTCCATCCACTAGGGAGCTCCTATCGAGAATCCATGAGCTAAGGGAATGGGGGTTAAAGGGTGGTCATGCAGCTCTGGGTCCTGGTAGGTGTCACAGGGCTAGAAGAAATAAAGTGTGCTTTTTGCCAACACACCCAACACACACATACAATTTTTTTTTTTTTTTTTTTTTAACAAGAAGGTTACAGGGCGCCTGGGTGGCTCAGTTGGTTAAACGACTGCCTTCGGCTCAGGTCATGATCCTGGAGTCCCGGGATCGAGTCCCACATCGGGCTCCCTGCTCAGCAGGGAGTCTGCTTCTCCCTCTGACCCTCTTCCCTCTCGTGCTTTCTATCTCTCATTCTCTCTCTCTCAAATAAATAAATAAAATTAAAAAAAAAAAAAAAAACCAAGAAGGTTACAAAGCATCCCTCCTGTTCTAGCTAAGTAAGCAGGACAGCTAGGCCTGTCAACTAACCTAGTAGTCCTGTGGTCAATTTACCTAGGAGCTTTCAAATCACCAGTAGAAATCACTGATTTGTTAAAGGAAAATATTTGCGGTACATTAGTGACATAAACCTAAGCAGTTTTTGCTACACTACCTCAGTGAAAACAGATGGTAGAGGAGGTTCACAAAAAACACTTCTCAAAAATGGTCTGCAATCTCCTCTTGCTCTGACTTCAATACCCCTGACCGGACATGCTGCCCAGCTTCCGACTTCCTCAGTTCTCGCCACCTTTCCTTCCTTTCCACCCCAGCTTAGTCACTGACCTGAATGACATACACTTTGGAAGGTCTGAACTTTACCTACAGTGATGTTTCAGGATTATCTGCTGTATCTGCTACTCCGATTCTAGTCACCACTAAGAAACTGAAAGTTGGGGTGCCTGGATGGCTCAGTCAGTTGAGCCTCAGATTCTTGATTTCAGCTAAGGTCATGATCTCAGAGTTATGAGATCAAGCCCCAGGTCAGCCTCCGTGCTGGGTGTGGCGCCTGCTTAAGATTCTCTCTCTCCCTCTTCCTCTGTCCCTCACCGCCCCCTCAAAAAAAACAACTAAGAGTTGATGCTAGTACAATTAAAACAGCAGAGAGACTTGTTGGTTCCTTTTCAAAGTAATGCATTCACCAGGTGATATTCTATTTAAAAACCGCCTTCCCAAAATTATACATACAGTTTCACAAAAGGGATTTTACAAACAGACAACTGGGCACAATAGTCAGTATTACTCACAGATCTCTTCCTTGTGGATAGAAGTAATTAATATTTTTGAATACTATGCCTTGGAGATCAAAAATTCCTTTCATATACTTTCAAGACATCTAAAAAATCCTCCACAGGAGAAAATAAATTACTCACTCTGGTATACACAGGGTCAGAACATGCACGAGCCTACACAGTTGTAGCTTTTCATTCTCAGACAAGAACTGTGTCAGCGTAAATTTCAGCTTCTCTCTTATTTGGGTTTGCACATTCTGGTAGACCATGTTTTAAGAAGCTGGATGAATATGGGGTCAGGTACATGAAAGTCACAGGTCTCTGTATAGGGTGTTTAAACTGTGCTCTCTGATGTTACCATTAGTCCAGGCTAGAGCAGAAATTATTCTATAGATTAGATACACATGAGAAGGACTCACCGACAAAAATATTAATCTTGAATTCTATGGAATTCCCAACCTCTGTTCAGGAAGATTCTAGTAGATCTATTTAGAACACCCACACTTAATTTTCATACCATTTAACCTTTATTTTCAGCTCAAACTTTCAGAAGTGTAAGCTAAACTCTTTTTGGTTTGTTGGGCTTGGGCCTAATTGGTCTTTCTATAATGTTTTACTCTTGTTATTATTCTCTCACCAAAAGCAGTAGCACAACATTTTAACAGGCAAAGGAAAGCACTTTTTGCATATTTCTTTTGCAGTATCTTATTTCATCTTACTAGTCAAAATTTTACCACGAAAGCTGAAAAGATCCCTAACACCTCTCACAATGGTATGACTGATAAGACTACCCAGAGGATAAGAAATCACAGATTTTAGTGTCAAACAGAGTCGAGTTTCAGTGCTGTTTCTGTCGCTTAATATGTAATACTGGGCAAGTTACTTAGTCTTTCCAAGTCTTAATATTCTCACGGGTAAGGTCAGGATGGTAACACATGTAGTTCATGGGGATATTTTAAAGATTAATCAATATAACATACAGAATGGTTAGCACAGAGCTTAGCACATAGTAAGTGTTCAATAAATAATGCTTCCATTTTCATATAACAAATCTGGGTCTGAATTACATGAATAACTGCCTCAGCACTATGCTTCCATTTGCGCTAGGAAAATTGATCACTATGTGCTCTATTTTAATCTTTGATTTCCACTGTTTCTATGACACCAGAGTGCAAATTCATCAGAACTTGTTATTTACCCAGCATTGCAGGTACACAAGGTACCGTGGGGTAGAAAAAATGCAACATCTGCTATAAAAAGTCCTGTGGATTAAAGATTACTTACAAGTGGGAGTTTTCTATTATCTAATAGTTACTCCACCAGCCTCCCCCACAAGCCCAACTCTTCTCATAATTGTGGCATTAACCTGAGAGTGCTTGAGTATATCAAACGCAAAAACAAAACCAAAAAACTCCTTAAGGATAGACCACTGGAGGACTGATGGAGACCACACGGTGCCACCAGACAATGGTATTTAACTAAATGCTACCGGCTCCCATGAATCCTTCCTCAAACCCTTCTTTTGAGTAATTTGTTCTTATTCTACAGGATAAGTAGCAGCTTATATGCCTAATATGTTAGCAGCAGGCTAACAGTAAAATGTTAGAATAGTAAACATCCTATGTTCAAACAAGAAATCATTCAATGTTGACAATGGCAAAAATAACCATTTTTTGAGCAACTACTTCTACAAACCACTGTAATAATTCACCAAATGTGCATTAGCTTTAATTCATATAAGCAGCCTAGGTTTTATCCCCACAGATGGACAAAGGATCAGAGACATTAAAGTAAGTAAAAAAAAACAAAAAACAGAGATATGAATGCAAAGCTCTTCTTTTTACCACACTGTGCT